TCAGCGAGTCCTTCACCTCCATCCTTGTCACACCCCACTGTCTCGCTACACTGGCCACCAATTCCCCAAATAAAATTGACTACTCGCTTCAGGGCTGTTTGTGGGACATTGGTTTGTGCAAATTGACTGCAGTGTTCACCTACAATTACTACACTTAACAGTAAAATCCTGTGAGGTACGTTGAGACGTCTCAATGATGGCATAAGGCACAATATCAAAAGCAAGTATTGTAATTATTACTTCAGCAGATAGATTTTAAGATCCTTGTCTAACCTTCAAATGCTATGATCTCCTGATCTCCGCTATGATCTCCTGCAATCCTATTCTGCTCACCTACTCCCTCTACTCTGTCAACTCAATGCTGCTTCATATCCCCTGTCCATGGTGCCCCACTGTTGGTGGGTGAGCTTTCAAACACTTTACCTGCCTTCTCTGGATCTTCCTCCCTAAAGTCTTCCAACTCACACCCTCTCTCGTTTCTGTTAAATCCCCTACCGCCCCCAAAAATCTCCCTGACTGCACCTTAGATTATTTCATTTCTATCTTCCCTATCTCCCACCCTTCTAGGGTTCCCACTCCAGCAGTCAAAGTGTAAAGCACTTTGATTGTTCTACTATGTGAAAAGTGCTGTATATGACAAGTTGTATGGCGCGCAGAGAAAACTCAAAAAAGCAATAACTTACGTGAAGTTTGCTGGAATTTAGGTGCCAGAAACGTAGTCTGATAAATTCGAGTTACTTACCACATTCTCTTGCAGTTTGATGGTGTTATTGAAATCTTGGAAGGGGTATCTATTAATACCAGTATTATTTGTATTGCATTTTACAATGAACTGTGAACTATAGAGGTCAATTGTTTGCCTCTTGTGCGAAATAGAAACAACTAAATGCTGACGTTGCTATATTTGAGGAGATGGGGGTGGGGGGGGGAATACACAAAGATGATAGGCGAAATCTCCTTGCGGCTGATTTAATTGTTTTTGTGCATATTCATGCAGGAAATGCTATAAATTTAAATGAAAGAACTGTAACCACTTGGTGGGAGAAAACATTGATTGAGGTGCAGAGATAAGAATAATATTTGCTTTGATATATAGCCTTATCACATAGCCGAAATGTCTCAAAGCACTTCATTATATATTACTGTATAATATAAAGTGGAATACCTATATTTTGTAGGTGAAACACAGCAGCCAGTATGCACACAGCAATTTCCCACAACAGACATGGAGTGAATGACCAATTTTATTTGGGGGAATTGGATGGCCAGGACACTGGAAGAAATTCCCTTCTCCTTTTGAATAGTGTCACGGGATCGGACATCCACCTGGACAGGCAGGTGGGACTTTAGTTTAACGTCTCATCCAGAGGACAGCAAAGGACAATGCAACTCCCCCCTTCCCCAGCACTACACAAGTGTCAGCTTAGACTATGTGATTCCAAGTCGCGATGTAGGGCTTGAACCCACAACCTTCTGACTCAGAGGTGACAGTGTTGCCACTGAGCCAGGCTGACACACCAGAAGACTCTTTTGTCAATAAATTGTGATATCAAATCATTTGCATGCATGTTGGAGTATTTGCTGAGTTGAACAAATAATTCTTACATGTGATATAGCATCTTTCATACCTGGAGAACATTTCAAAGTGCTCCACAGGATTTACTGTAAAGTGTAGTGCAGGCAAATGTGGCAGCCTATTTCTGACCAGCAACGCTACACTTGCAGCCATGGGGTGAATAGCCAAGGCTACCAACTGAGCCAGGCTTGACTTCGTTTGAACCCATTTGATTTGGTAAGATATCATTTAATTTCTTGTGAATTTCTGTATTTGACATCTTATTCCATAAATAGTTTTTTTATGTGCCAGATTAATTGGGCCATTTTGGAGGGGTTGTAGCCCTTCACCTTTTCTCTATTTAAATAATGTAAGAGATTGAATGACTATCCTCCTGGGGGGGGGGGAGGGGGGGGGGGGGGTAGAGAGGTAAACAGGGTCTCCTTAAAGCTAAAGTGGCTCCAAGATGACATGTTTAGCAATGGAATATTTGAATTGAGCAAACCTTCTGGTGGTCTTGATAGTCCAGTTCCTGGGCCAGGTAGAGCGGCAGTGCTCCAGGATAATATTGATGACAGCGCAGCCAGGCCGGCTCAATCAACAGAACGTGGAAGGGCAAACCAGTCAGTGGGGTCAGGGATTCTTTCCACTCAGCTCCTGGTAACACTGCAAGGCAAAACTCTAATGGGTAGGGCGGTCCTAGCTAGATCAACAGTGGGAAAGCTTGGCAGACAGTGCTCTCAATGGCAAGCTATACTGTTTTAGCTAGATAGACTACTTTGACTCCAGCAGTACCCCAAAGTGGTACCCAAGACTTGGATCATGTCTACCTGTCTAATACTTTCCAAAAAGGTACATCTCTCCAGGGAGAGAGTGTGTGCATTCCATTCCAGTAAACATCTCTATCCATGTATAGGTGGGACGCATGGAAACTCTCAGCTTTGTTTGGATATTTTTAAGCAAGACATGTGTCAGACACACAGCTGACCCAAACAGTAAGAGTTTGAGCTGGATTTCAGCAATGATAGGAAATAAAATATTATTCATATGGTATATTCTGTCATTCACAAAAACATTAATTTTGTAATTTCACATAGATATTTAAAATTGTTATTGGGAATATGAAAATATTGGAATATGGTTCAAACTTTGTCAACCTCTCCTTAGCTATTTTTTAAATACAAGTTTGGATGTTTTAATTCTCTACAACCTCACTGCGTACATCAAAATTTGCCTCTTTAAAAAATATAAATTCTGCACAACTTTGTATAAGATGTAGTTTTATGTTCTACGCTTGATTTTTATAATTTCAGAGTAGCTGTTAACTTTCATATCAGTGACATAAGCAATTGGATAGGTCATCATAAAAGTATGTTCATTACAAATCTTGTTTTGGAAACCCCTTTCCAAATTTCAATTGTATGTTTTGCCACCAAAAGCACATTCACTTTGGCTTCCTGCCAATTTATTCTTCAAATACAGACTGACAAACAGGCAGACAAGCCGGACAGGCAGAGGTATTTCTGGAACATGCGGCCTCAGCGGTCAAATCACATTTGCAGAATTAGGAACTGATCTTGCTACATACTGCTTGAGCTTTCTTCCTCCTTCTGTCTCTGTAGCTGTAATCGTTGCCACTTTTAGCCAAGGGAAAACTGAAAGGATTCCACCCTCCCCAATCCCCCCTCAAGTGAATGACCACACTATGGAAATGTTGGGTATATTTTAATTGAAATATTCTCAACAGATTGTAGCTGGACAATTCATGCATTTCAGAATCTCAATAAATCTTACTGAATTGTAATTGCTAATACTCCTTGCGTTTGATATAGCCCCTTTGATATGAGACATTTTAAAGCGCTTCACAGAATATCTTGTAAAGTGAATTGACTGTATTTTCCGTGTGAAATGCACAATAATAATAATAATAATAATAGAACAGAAGTAGATACTGTATATTTAAAAGGATATTCATAGTGGAACAGTGTTTTTATATTTCCTCTCCCATGTTTCCAAACAAAACCGTATGATGACTTAAATGAATTTACATTACACTGTAGTTACCACTTGATAGATCGCCACGCTCTGCTCTCAGCCAGCGGGACTCAGTGCAATTATGCAAATATTGAGGTTTGTTTGCAAATACAAAGCTCAGCACTGCAGCGTGAATGCAATCGTCCTTCAATAAAGTGGGCAACCCCGCACAGTGGGTCAAATTGCTATCCACATTATTGAAGTTTTTGTTTTCCGGATCTTATCTTACAGTTGCACTGCAGAAGTGAATAAAACACCATTTATAATAAATAAGCCAAACTCCACCACAAGCAACGTACAGCCTCGAGGAAGCCGTGGTCTGGTTTTATAATAATAATCCTTGCATTTGATAGAGCGCTTCATCCCGTCGCCGAGACGTCTCAAAGCGCATCACAGAATATATCGTGAAGTGGAGCGACTGTATTTTGTGGGCGAACGAATCGCAGCAGCAGCCAATTGCCCGCAACAGCGTTCCCCGCAAATGGTTGTGGATTGAAGCGTCAACATTTTTTCGGTGCTGTGCAAAAGTAGTTTTACTCTTAACATCTCAGCTCCACTCCCCTCTCTCTCTCTCTCTCACACACACACACACACACACACTGGGGTGGATGGAGTCCCAGCCCTGTGCTGCTTGTGTTGTTGTTGTGGTGGTGGTGGTTGCTACCAATCATGTGGTTGCCATCGTCAGAGGAGCTTGGAGCCGGCGCGGGCGGGCGGGCAGACAGACAGAGGCGAGCGGGAGGGGAGCGTGAGAGCGTGAGAGCCCGTCTCCAGCCCAACACCGCCGGATTGGGCGGCTTCACGCCACCATTTGGGCGGCTTTCCCCCCCCCCCCCTCCCCTCCCGCACTGTGCGTTGTGTGTAAAAAAAAACGGCTTTTTTTAAAAAAAATCAAACCTGCAAACCCCCCCCCACCTCCCCCCACACTCTCTCCATTCCTCCTCCCTTTGAAAACCTTTAATTACACAGTTTGTGAGGGGGGGGAAACAAAAAAAAATATCCTGAAACCGGCCGCGCGGCTCTCAGCGCTGAGGGATATTGGGCTACTTTTGGGGCTCGTGTTTGGTGGATTTTGGGCTATAAAACGCATTGTAATCAGTGCCGCCCGCCCCGCCCGCCCGCCCCTCGCGCAGGGACGGTTGGAGTCTGTCCGCTGCCTGTGGCCGGGGCTCAGCTCCTCTCCTCTCCTCTCCTCCATGACTCCTCCCGGCAACAGGTTCGGCTGTTAAAAAAAATTTTTTCGCTCGAGGATCAGCCCCCACCCCCTCCAGCCCTGCCCTCCCCTCCCAGCCCAGCCCTCCCTGCCCTGCCCTCCCTGCCCTCCCCTCCCAGCCCTGAATGGACGGTGCTTTCAACAGATAAACCAGAAAGGACCGAGAGAGAGCGAGAGCGAGAGAGAAAACTTCCACCGGCATCGCCATGGGTGAGTGAGAGAGAGAGGGAGGGAGGGAGTGTGGAGCGGGAGGGATGGGAGCGGACAGTGGGACAGGGCCCGACCACTGCTCCTCACTCACTCACTCACTCAGTCACTCAGTCACAGACAGACCCGACTCTCCCCCAACCTCACCGACCCCACTCCAGCACCGCGCTCCCCCCCCCCCCGGTGCTGTGTGATTTCTCCCCCCGCGCTCCCCAAGTCATGGACACTTTCTCTGCCCCCGCGGTCTGTCTGTGTCTGTCTGTCTGTCTCTCGCCCCCTCCCCCCCTCCCGGAGGTGAACTCTGATACCAACCCTCCCCCATGTGTCTGATTTCATCACCACTGTCTGACCCCCCACTGTCTGACCCCCCCCCCACTGTCAGACCCCCCCCACTGTCTGATCCCCCCCCCACTGTCTGACCCCCCCCCACTGTCTGACCCCCCCCCACTGTCAGACCCCCCCCCCACTGTCAGACCCCCCCACTGTCAGACCCCCCCACTGTCAGACCCCCCCCCACTGTCAGACCCCCCCACTGTCTGATCCCCCCCCCCACTGTCAGACCCCCCCCCACTGTCAGACCCCCCCACTGTCAGACCCCCCCCACTGTCAGACCCCCCCCACTGTCAGACCCCCCCCCACTGTCAGACCCCCCCCACTGTCTGACCCCCCCCACTGTCAGACCCCCCCCACTGTCAGACCCCCCCCACTGTCAGACCCCCCCCCCACTGTCTGACCCCCCCACTGTCAGACCCCCCACTGTCAGACCCCCCCCACTGTCAGACCCCCCCCACTGTCAGACCCCCCCCCACTGTCTGACCCCCCCCACTGTCTGACCCCCCCCCACTGTCTAGACCCCCCCCACTGTCAGACCCCCCCCACTGTCAGACCCCCCCCCCACTGTCTGACCCCCCCCACTGTCTGACCCCCCCCCACTGTCTGCCCCCCCCACTGTCTGCCCCCCCCACTGTCTGCCCCCACCCCCCCACTGTCTGACCCCCACCCCCCACTGTCTGACCCCCACCCCCCACTGTCTGACCCCCACCCCCCCACTGTCAGACACCCACCCCCCACTGTCTGACCCCCACCCCCCACTGTCTGACCCCCCCCCCCACTGTCAGACCCCCCCCACTGTCTGACCCCCACCCCCCACTGTCTGACCCCCACCCCCCCACTGTCTGACCCCCACCCCCCCACTGTCAGACCCCCCCCCCCACTGTCAGACCCCCACCCCCCCACTGTCAGACCCCCACCCCCCACTGTCAGATCCCCCCCCACTGTCTGACACCCACCCCCACTGTCTGATCCCCCCCCCACTGTCTGAGTCCCCCCCCCACTGTCTGATCCCCCCCCCACTGTCTGAGCCCCCCCCCCACTGTCTGATGTCCCCCCCCACTGTCTGATCCCCCCCCCACTGTCTGAGCCCCCCCCCCACTGTCTGATGTCCCCCCGCCACTGTCTGATCCCCCCCCCCCACTGTCTGATCCCCCCCCCCCCCACTGTCTGATCCCCCCCCCACTGTCTGATCCCCCCCCCCCCCCACTGTCTGATCCCCCCCCCACTGTCTGATGCGCCCCCCCCCACTGTCTGATGTCCCCCCCCCACTGTCTGATCCCCCCCCCCACTGTCTGATCCCCCCCACCGCCCACTGTCTGATGTCCCCCCCCCACTGTCTGATCCCCCCCCCCCCCACTGTCTGATCCCCCCCCCCACTGTCTGATCCCCCCCCACTGTCTGACCCCCCCCACTGTCTGATCCCCCCCCACTGTCTGATTTCCCCCCTACCGTCTGATTTCCCCCCCACTATTATTCCCCCCCCGTCCATGTCTGATTTTTCTCACCCTCCCCAGTTTGCATGAATTAACTTCCCTCCTCCACGCCCCCTAATTGTGTTTGATTCCTTCCCCCCTATGTTGCGTCTGATTGATCTCTTTCCCCGCCCTCCCCACTAGATTGTGCCTCGTTTCCCAATCTCTCTCTCTCTCCCCGTCCCCCGTTGTGTCTGATTTCTCCCCTCCCCCCCAGGCTGTGTCTGATTTCTCCCCTCCCCCCCAGGCTGTGCCTGATTTCTCCCCTCCCCCCCCCCCAGGCTGTGCCTGATTTCTCCCCTCCCCCCCAGGCTGTGCCTGATTTCTCCCCTCCCCTCCCTGCTCTATGCCTCTGGGTTTAATTCCTGATAGACTTTGGCTGTGAATTATAATCCTTTTTTGAAGGTGTTTCCCAGTTTTGAGGAGATCGAGGGGGTTTCTGTCTCCACTGTTTGGAATGTAGGTTCCCGAGAGTTGTGTAATTCTTCACCAGAACTTGCATCAATACTATCCGCATGTTGTTACTTGTACTGTACTTGTTTTTCCAGTGAAGGGATGGAGGAAATGTGTGCACCTCTTCCCCGCTGTGACAAGTAGACAGAAACTCTTTGGAGTCGAGACTGAATTATTCACATCCCTCTACACACCGGGTTTCCTGCATAACTAATCCAGACAAAATAAGTTTGTCCTTCCTCAAAAGAATGCTTAAGCACGTTTTCCTGTTTCCTGTCTTTTCTTGTGCTCTTAGTGCATTTCGTTGTGTTAGAGAGAGGGTGAGAAGTAATTTACTATTAATGTCGGGTGGTAATCATGCGAATGCTTTTACTTTATGGAAACACAGACTATCAATTTTTAACTCCTTGGGGAAGGTGACATCTGTTTACTTTTGTTTTATTGCTAACTGGAAAGTGAAATGGAAACATTCCTGGAGGAGCTATTTAAAGAATTTACTTTTTTGATGTTGTTAACCCTTTTCGTTGACATCACATGCCCCTGTAAAGTGTTTTACCTAGTTTTGATCCTCTTTTAAGATAAATGTAGTGAACTTCAAAGAACAGTGTAAAGTTAACATGTTTTCCTTTTTAAAAAAATATCCATTTTTAGTAATGCAGTGGAGCCTGGAGTGATAGGATTTATACGTAGAAGTGTGCAGAAGTGTCAGCTTCAAAATTTGAGAAAAATTCTAGGCATCCTGACCTTCCTTCCAGATGCACATTAAATTTGGATGCATTTTTGTACATATAAAGATGGGAGGGGGTAACTTTTCAGTTATGGTGGAATTTAGCCTTTTCCAGAAATTGGGTAGGTGAAGCGTTCTAGTTGTCAGGTTAGGGTAATTATAACTAATAATTGACAAGGGAAGGTCAGAATCGAGCCTACCCTCTATGGCAGGCTCGGGAGACCTGAGCCAGGCAGGTCCGCAGTACTCCAGGGCACTACTGATGTAGGCAGTCCGGTTCATCGGCAGGACTTGGAAGGGCAGACCAGTCACTGGGAGTAGGAAATTTTTCCACGCAGCTCCTGTTAACCCTGCAAGCGAAGGCGTTAGTGGAAAGGGTGGTCCTAGCTGGACAAGCAGCGGGAAAGCTTGCCAGACAGTACTATCAATGGCATACTATGCAGTTTTAGTTGGTTGGACTCCAGCAGTAGCTCAACACACACACCTCAATCCTTGACTCTTGCCAACCTGTGCCTAATACGGTAAGCAGGATCTGTCCTCCAGGGAGAGTGCACATTCCATTCCAACTATCTATCTCTGGAATTTCCATGTGTAGGGATGGATGAAATTCTCAGTTTGGTTTGGATACTCTTGAGCATGGTGATGGGGTTGTGACATGTGTCAGACATCAAAAAACTGACCACAAAAACAATTTGATTTACTGAACTCTTTATTTATCCTGCGCAGATTGTAAACTCACCAAATTGCATTCAATATTCAGTTATGTTTAGGGATAAGCTTAAACTTTTCAGTCTTATACAGGATTTCATCATGATGATTTTTTCAGACTTTAGCTCTCTAACTCTTCAGTCAACTGGCCACCAGAGGTTAATTAACTTGTTCTAATAAACAATGCTTAGATTACTTTGTTTCTTGACCATTTGCACACAAAATGATTTGGGTGAATCGATGAAGGCATTAATTCTGTTTGCGTATGGGTTCTTATGTGTGTTTATCTTCTAAAAAAATTACCATTAGTTATCTTGATTTTCACATTGTAACTTGACAAAATGTACAATGGAGGCTTTTGTGAATCTTGAGATTTAGTTCTGTGTGCCTTTTTCAGCAGCTCATCATTGTACATGGCCTAGGCTATAGTGCATAACATTAGCAATTTGCACTTATATAGCACCCCTCACACAGGATCGCATCCTTGAGAGCTTGTAAATGTTTTGTTCTTTCCATTGTACCATCAAAAAGCTAGTTACAGAAATCATAGTTATATTCTATCAAGAAAAATATAAACCTGAAAAGGCTTTGGCTGAGATTTTTATCCTAACCCCATTTTACTAAGAAAATGTAAAAAAAACTTTCAAAGGATTGTTGACCAGGACCCACCCCCTTTTTTTGAAAAACATTATGGGATCTTTAATGTCCACCTGAAGAAGTGGGGCCTCCCTCCGCCTTGCCCCCTCTTCCCCGCCTGAAAACATTCTTCTTCGACTGCTTACGGCTGCTTCCACCCCCCCGGCTCGTAGTCAGGCTCCGCCACTGTTAAGCGGTCTGAGATGCTACCCTGTGTGGAGGGCACTGTATAAGTGCAAGTTGTTGTTATATGAAGGACAGCCCCTTTGCCAAATAGTGTCAGGAATGGTAGTTAAACACCACCTAAAAATGTACCTCTTCAACTGCTCTTTGGTCAGGTCCCCTTCCCCACACCACCCTCTCCTCCGTTGCTTAGTGTACCTATGTGAAGGGTGCAAAGGTGAAGCCTGTTATTGTAGTTCTTCCCCCAGTTGAGTGTCAGAGGGGGCAACAATTGTATGAAGTTAACACTTAGTAATATGTAAGATCCCTTCACCCTAAGACTTGAACATTAACATCATTAAAGTTAACTATCTCTTGTATTTTCTAAGCTATCTGGGCTTGCTTGAAGCTTATTTATAGCACAAAGAGTCAAAGTGGGGATTTGTATGGCTTACAGGGACATCAGGATCATGGATATATCAAGAGGTTGCATTGTGAACAGTGGTGGTCGC